CATCCATCTCAGAAGGAATTTTACAATCAGATATTGCCCAACCATGCATGGTCCGCAGTGGAATCGTTTTCAGGCCGTGGACAATCCTGCGATGTCAACGGCTTGGCGCTATGCGCGGGAAGGAGACGACATACCACGCGAAAGACTATGGTGCAGGCGCTAGAGCACAGTCTCAATAGCGCCGATCCGGACTTCTCTTTTCAGATCATCGGTGTCGAAGATGTTCTATACCGTGGAGTTAATATGGGTTGTCCTTAAAACTGGAGTCGCCTCGTCGAACTTGTCCGAAGTCATTGCATCAACTGGGATATTACAAAATACGGTTGTTGGGTACGGTTGTTGGGCACGGTTGTTGGGCACGGTTGTTGGGTACGGTTGTTGGGTACGGTTGTTGGGCACGGTTGTTGGGCACGGTTGTTGGGCATCTACTGTGAAGAACAACACCGCACTCCTCGGTATATATGAACAGCTCCTCGCTCACTAAAACCGTAAAGAGCGACGAAGTCGACGGCAGTAAAATGTGCGACGGGAACTACACCAGCGATCAAAACAGAAGAGGAAGCGTATCCAAAGAGACCGGACCCGGCAGGTCTCACTTGGACCAGGGAGCACGTGTTACACGTACCGGACAACCACTGTTGAACGCTGCTGCCTACGAGGCTAATTGATGCAGTAGAAGGAGCTGCATTGGATCTGTAGATTAAACGTGGTGCGTGTGATGTACGGTTGCCCTACTACGAGACAGCATACACGAAGTTGGCATGCTGGGCTTCTTCTCAGAATCCAGCGACCGTCATTCCTATGGCATACGCAAGCATTACGGCCAATGTGAAGGCCAGAATTAAGTATTTCCTCTTCCAAGCAGTCACTGCAATCATAGACCACTCGGCAATGGCTAAGACTTCTCGAAGCTCTGACAGGCCATCTGTGGCAGCCGAACAATAAAGTCGAGTAGACAAAGGATAGGTCACAACTGCATCGAAGATTCTTTCCAGAGGGGTTCCTGAAATACAAGATATTATTGGCGGGCTCAACCGAGTAGCCAGCCCTCTAAGGATGGATTGGGGGGAGGGAGCCGCGTTTCGCCGTACCTGGGATATAACGATGACAGTGCTCAGCAGCGTGCGCCACGTAGCACATGCCCAGGCCAGCCACGATGAGTGAGTAACAAAGATGCTTGAAGGTGGTGTAGTCTCGGCCGGACATGGTTAATTGATTCCTCAGAAATAAATAATGCCCGGGAACCCATGAACAAGAGCGCGCCTGCGAACAACACAGGACCGTCTTTTGCCCTGGAGATGGCGTGACAGTCGTCCCTGGCGTGACGGCGGTCCCTGGCGTGTCAGCGGTCCCTGGCGTGACAGCGGCCCCTGGCGTGTCAGCGGTCCCTGGCGTGTCA